GGGGCGGGGGAAGTAGGAATAGACACTAGGAAGATATAGTACCTATACTGTGATTAAGCATACCTACCTATTGCTGCACGTACCTATACTGTGATAATGCATACCTACCTATTGCTGCAAGTACCTATACTGTGATAAAGCATACCTACATATTGATGCACGTACCTATACTGTGATAAAGCATACCTACCTATTGCTGCAAGTACCTATACTGTGATAATGCATACCTACCTATTGCTGCAAGTACCTATTCTGTGATAAAGCATACCTACCTATTGATGCACGTCCCTATACTGTGATAAAGCATACCTACCTATTGCTGCACGTCCCTATACTGTGATAATGCATACCTACCTATTGATGCACGTCCCTATTCTGTGATAAAGCATACCTGGCTATTGCTGCACGTACCTATTCTGTGATAAAGCAAGCCTACCTATTGCTGCAAGTACCTAAACTGTGATAAAGCATACCTACCTATTGCTGCACGTCCCTATACTGTGATAAAGCATACCTACCTATTGCTGCGCGTCCCTATACTTTCATAAAGCATACCTACCTATTGCTGCACGTCCCTATACTGTGATAAAGCATACCTACCTATTGCTGCAAGTACCTATACTTTGATTAAGCATACCTACCTATTACTGCACGTCCCTATACTGTGATAAACCATACCTACCTATTGCTGCAAGTACCTATACTGTGATAAAGCATACCTACCTATTGCTGCAAGTACCTATACTGTGATAAAGCATACCTACCTATTGATGCACGTCCCTATTCTGTGATAAAGCATACCTAGCTATTGCTGCACGTCCCTATTCTGTGATAAAGCAAGCCTACCTATTGCTGCAAGTACCTAAACTGTGATAAAGCATACCTACCTATTGCTGCGCGTCCCTATACTGTGATAAAGCGTACCTACCTATTGCTGCAAGTACCTATACTGTGATAAAGCATACCTACCTATTGCTGCAAGTACCTATACTGTGATAAAGCATACCTACCTATTGATGCAAGTACCTATACTGTGATAAAGCATACCTACCTATTGATGCACGTCCCTATTCTGTGATAAAGCATACCTGGCTATTGCTGCACGTACCTATTCTGTGATAAAGCAAGCCTACCTATTGCTGCAAGTACCTAAACTGTGATAAAGCATACCTACCTATTGCTGCGCGTCCCTATACTGTGATAAAGCATACCTACCTATTGCTGCACGTCCCTATACTGTGATAAAGCATACCTGGCTATTGCTGCAAGTACCTATACTTTGATAAAGCATACCTGCCTATTGCTGCGCGTCCCTATACTTTGATAAAGCATACCTACCTATTGCTGCAAGTCCCTATACTGTGATAAAGCATACCTACCTATTGCTGCAAGTACCTATACTGTGATAAAGCATACCTACCTATTGCTGCAAGTACCTATACTGTGATAAAGCATACCTACCTATTGCTGCACGTCCCTATATTTGATAAAGCATACCTACCTATTGCTGCAAGTACCTATACTGCACTTAAGTTAATATCCCAGCTAACACAACCCTCTGAAAACACTGGACTCGACCAACACCGCTTAAGCCTATATCCCAGCTAACACAACCCACTGAAAACACTGGACTACCAACACCGCTTCATTCAATATCCCAGCTAACACCACCCACTGCGATCAGTGGACTCGACCCACAGCCTTTCATTCAATATAAACTGGCGGTGTGACGTCATAATAGTGACGTGCGGCTTTCATTGCTTCAGTTTTTGATGGGGTGCCCACTTCACGCTTTCAGTGCCTGACATATATGTGAGTATAGTATAATAATGTGAAACAATGCTTGATCATAGACAGCGCCACAAATTGTTTAATTGCTGATTGCGGCGTTAAACTAGCAAGTACCGAAACATAATTTGTTTAAAGCTAATAAATAAGTTGCCAGTGATTCCGTGGCATCTGATTGGCTAACCAAGTGTTCTTTTCTTGCGTTTATTTTCCCCATAAACTGAAAATCTGTTAGGCCACGCCCACTTACGGACAACTGATTCCTAATTGTGTGCTAATAATAGAATGGACGGGGTTGTCAATTATTCCTGTGTCACTGATTTCGTATTGTTGTTGTCTACAGTGCTTTTAAGTTAATGGTTAGATAAGCAAACCTGTGCTGTTGTTATTGCTGACGTATGTATTTATAAGAATTGACTTCAATGTGTTTTTGCGTTTATGGAGATAAAATCGTAAAAGAATGGTGTGCACGTGTGTGTGTGTGTGTGCTCAAAATTTAAATAATTTGTTTCTACTGTACAGCGAGACTACTCTAAAGGTCAAAACACAGACGGTTTACCTCCTGATTTTAATCAAAACGTCTTGTGTTTCATCTGTACTTCTGACAGGTTTACACGTTAAACCATGCTGAATGGAAGACATTGTCTCCCTGGGATTTCGTCTCCTCGGAAGATGCACAACAAAACCAGTGAAGCTGTTGAAACAAAGAAAAATCAATTGTGGAAAGATGACATAAGTGACAAAGCTTCAGGTGTTGGTAACAAAGGCTCAATCTAAGCAGCACTAATGAGTAATCAGGGCGTACCACGCTCTTCAAACAGAACACATAGTAAAGCTGCGGGTTTTACGATTCCATGCCACTGTACTAGAGATTACTGCCATGTAAATCTCGACTCGTGGAGACTGACACAAGACATAAAATACAAAATTGTGAATTATTTATCGAAAAACTCTCCTGGTCGACCGGTTAATGCTAAAGAACGTGCGTGGGTCGTGGCTGAAATATTCCCTTTTAAGTTGGCTGCAAGGGGAAGACCATATTGCACGGCGTGGCTCGCGTGACGAACACAGTGCAGCCAGAGACTCGCGAGACTGAACGTGGGTTATGGCCCTTTAATGGCTATTCCGTGATTTCAGTGTTATGATAAAACAAAGACAATTGATTACTGGATCCTAGAGAGCGATTTTAGTTTAATATGAAGCAGTTTAGGGTTAGCACAGAGATGTTCATCTCACGTGCTAAACAAGGAGTACACGGCGTGCGTACATGAAGTGTTCAGGTGAGATCAATAAGGAGGGAAGTGCACGTGTTGCACGTGCATCACGTGTTGCACGACGCCATTGCCGATAACTGCCGGCTGGGTTACCTTGATCTGCAGGTGTATTCACATTATCTGCTTCTTTTCTTTCTCGGGTTGAAAATTATTGTAACCTTATTGCAGTTGATATCTGAAGAAAATATTGTATTTTTTCTTTTTCTTTTACTTGGAGAACGATACCTATTTTAAGTGTGACTTTGAATACGGTATGGCCGTGGTCATCGTGGAAAATTAAGGATGTACGTGGTGTCAGTATGGACCATGGGGGATGTACGTGTCGCAGGACCATGGAGGGTGAACGTGGTGTCAGTATGGACCATGGGGGATGTACGTGTCGCAGGACCATGGAGGGTGAACGTGGTGTCAGTATGGACCATGGGGGATGTACGTGTCGCAGGACCATGGGGGGTGAACGTGGTGTCAGTATGGACCATGGGGGATGTACGTGGTGTCAGTATGGACCATGGGGGATGTACGTGGTGTCAGTATGGACCATGGGGGATGTACGTGGTGTCAGTATGGACCATGGGGGATGTACGTGGTGTCAGTATGGACCATGGAGGATGTACGTGTCGCAGGACCATGGAGGGTGAACGTGGTGTCAGTATGGACCATGGGGGGTGTACGTGGTGTCAGTATGGACCATGGGGGATGTACGTGGTGTCAGTATGTACCATGGGGGATGTACGTGGTGTCAGTATGGACCATGGGGGATGTACGTGGTGTCAGTATGGACCATGGGGGGTGTACGTATCGCAGGACCATGGAGGGTGAACGTGGTGTCAGTATGTACCATGGGGGTGTACGTGGTGTCAGTATGGACCATGGGGGATGTACGTGGTGTCAGTATGTACCATGGGGGATGTACGTGTCGCAGGACCATGGAGGGTGAACGTGGTGTCAGTATGGACCATGGAGGGTGAACGTGGTGTCAGTATGGACCATGGGGGGTGTACGTGGTGTCAGTATGGACCATGGGGGATGTACGTGTCGCAGGGCCATGGAGGGTGAACGTGGTGTCAGTATGGACCATGGGGGATGTACGTGGTGTCAGTATGGACCATGGGGGATGTACGTGGTGTCAGTATGGACCATGGGGGATGTACGTGGTGTCAGTATGGACCATGGAGGATGTACGTGGTGTCAGTATGGACCATGGGGGATGTACGTGGTGTCAGTATGGACCATGGGGGATGTACGTGTCGCAGGACCATGGAGGGTGAACGTGGTGTCAGTATGGACCATGGGGGGTGTACGTGGTGTCAGTATGGACCATGGGGGATGTACGTGGTGTCAGTATGGACCATGGGGGATGTACGTGTCGCAGGACCATGGAGGGTGAACGTGGTGTCAGTATGGACCATGGGGGATGTACGTGGTGTCAGTATGGACCATGGGGGATGTACGTGGTGTCAGTATGTACCATGGGGGATGTACGTGTCGCAGGACCATGGAGGGTGAACGTGGTGTCAGTATGGACCATGGGGGGTGTACGTGGTGTCAGTATGGACCATGGGGGATGTACGTGTCGCAGGGCCATGGAGGGTGTACGTGGTGTCAGTATGGACCATGGGGGGGTGTACGTGGTGTCAGTATGGTCCATACGTGGTGTCAGTATGTACCATGGGGGATGTACGTGTCGCAGGGCCATGGAGGGTGTACGTGGTGTCAGTATGGACGATGGGGGGTGTACGTGGTGTCCGGACCATGGAGGGTGAACGTGGTGTCAGGACCATGGAGGGTGAACGTGATGTCAGGATGGACCATGGAGGGTGAACGTGGTGTCAGGATGGACCATGAAGGGTGAACATTGTGTCAGGACCATGGAGGGCGAACGTGGTGTCAGGACCATGGAGGGTGTATGTGGTGTCATGATTGACCGTTGAGGTTGAACTAGGTGTCAGGACCATGGAGGATGAACGTTGTGTCCATGAAGGGGATGTCAACATGGATCATGAAGGGGATGTCAACATGGATCATGAAGGGGATGTCAACATGGATCATGGAGGGGATGTCAACATGGATCATGGAGGGGATGTCAACATTGATCATGGAGGGGATGTCAACATGGATCATGGAGGGGATGTCAACATCGATCATGAAGGTGATGTCAACATGGATCATGGGGGGGATGTCAACATGGATCATGGGGGGGATGTCAACATGGATCATGAAGGGGATGTCAACATCGATCATGAAGGGGATGTCAACAGGGATCATGGAGGGGATGTCAACAAGGAGCATGAAGGGGATGTCAACAAGGAGCATGAAGGGGATGTCAACATGGATCATGGAGGGGATGTCAACATGGATCATGGAGGGGATGTCAACATGGATCATGGAGGGGATGTCAACATTGATCATGGAGGGGATGTCAACATGGATCATGGAGGGGATGTCAACATGGATCATGGAGGGGATGTCAACATGGATCATGGAGGGGATGTCAACATGGATCATGGAGGGGATGTCAACATGGATCATGGAGGGGATGTCAACATGGATCATGGAGGGAATGTCAACATGGATCATGGAGGGGATGTCAACAGGGATCATGAAGGGGATGTCAACATGGATCATGGAGGGGATGTCAACAGGGATCATGGAATGGGTGTCAACAGGGATCATGGAGGGGTGTCAACATGGTTCATGGAAGGGGTGTCAACAGGGATCATGGAAGGGGTGTCAACATGGATCATGGAGGATTGGGGGGGGGGGGGAGTCAACATGGATTATGGATTCACTTACAACTTAATATATCTGATTGTGTCGTTATTATTCCACGTTAACCTTGATTATTATTTGATATATCATTTTATTTAAAATAAGCTGTTGTAAAATATATAATTACTTATTGAATCCAACTGGTGATCTCATTTCCACTGTAACATAAAGTTGCCCAGCTTTGGAACAAACACAGTATCTTAAGGTGGTGTGGTGTGTATCATGATGGTGTGGCTCGATCATTTAATTACCGACATCTCATGGTTGGTCACATATTACTTTTACAAAGAGGCCAAGTAAGAGTGACGCTGCTAGCAGGGTACCTGGACACAAGGCGTATCAGCCGCACCCCACCTCCTAAACCTGGGCCTTTCTGTGTGTGTGTTAATAAGAAATGTTGCACCAATAAAGAAAATGCGACACATGTACTAAGAAGTGCCAGTCGGGACCACCTCCCCGCGATGGGGCCTGGTATGATTGTATGTCAGAACCTGCCACACGGACGCGTGTGAAGTACCCCACCAATGGAGATACCTTCTGACGGCTTCTCGAACATGCTTCTCAGCCAATACTCAACATATGCCAGTTTTTAGAAGGCACGAGCGTGTAAACATCAACACATCAGAGAAATTAGGGGAGCGATTTCTCTCTTGTTTCGGACCGACATGGTGCACATGTTGACTGTCAGAACAGCCGCTACTCCTACTTACCTCTCAAGATCTTTCGATAACGACGCGAGGTTACGCGCTAATGGAAATATTTGTACCATTACATGATTGTCCAACTTTTTCCTTTTTTCCTTATCACCCATATATGGATGGGGCATTTTGTTTCCTGAAACATCTAGCGTACTGCTATAGGCATGGATCTAGTCTATACGTCATCTAATTGAAAGTTGCAACATCTAGCGTACTGCTATAGGCATGGATCTAGTCTATACGTCATCTAATTGTAAGTTGCAACATCTAGCGTACTGCTATAGGCATGGATCTAGTCTATAAGTCATCTTATTGAAAGTTGCAACATCTAGCGTACTGCTATAGGCATGGATCTAGTCTATACGTCATCTAATTGTAAGTTGCAACATCTAGCGTACTGCTATAGGCATGGATCTAGTCTATACGTCATCTAATTGAAAGTTGCAACATCAAGCGTACTGATATAGGCATGGATCTAGTCTATACGTCATCTAATTGAAAGTTGCAACATCTAGCGTCCTGCAATAGGCATGGATCTAGTCTATAGTCATCTAATTGAAAGTTGCAACATCTAGTGTACTGCTATAGGCATGGATCTAGTCTATACGTCATCTGTTGTAAGTTGCAACATATATAGTGCACTGCAATAGGCATGGATCTAGTCTATAGTCATCTAATTGAAAGTTGCAACATCTAGCGTACTGCTATAGGCATGGATCTAGTCTATACGTCATCTGTTGTAAGTTGCAACATATATAGTGCACTGCAATAGGCATGGATCTAGTCTATAGTCATCTAATTGAAAGTTGCAACATCTAGCGTACTGCTATAGGCATGGATCTAGTCTATACGTCATCTGTTGTAAGTTGCAACATCTAGCGTACTGCTATAGGCATGGATCTAGTCTATACGTCATCTGTTGTAAGTTGCAACATCTAGCGTACTGCTATAGGCATGGATCTAGTCTATACGTCATCTGTTGTAAGTTGCAACATATATAGTGCACTGCAATAGGCATGGATCTAGTCTATAGTCATCTAATTGAAAGTTGCAACATCTAGCGTACTGCTATAGGCATGGATCTAGTCTATAGTCATATGTTGTAAGTTGCAACATCTAGCGTACTGCAATAGGCATGGATCTAGTCTATACGTCATCTGTTGTAAGTTGCAACATATATAGTGCACTGCAATAGGCATGGATCTAGTCTATAGTCATCTAATTGAAAGTTGCAACATCTAGCGTACTGCTATAGGCATGGATCTAGTCTATACGTCATCTGTTGTAAGTTGCAACATATATAGTGCACTGCAATAGGCCTGGATCTAGTCTATAGTCATCTAATTGAAAGTTGCAACATCTAGCGTACTGCTATAGGCATGGATCTAGTCTATACGTCATCTGTTGTAAGTTGCAACATATATAGTGCACTGCAATAGGCATGGATCTAGTCTATACGTCATCTAATTGAAAGTTGCAACATCTAGCGTACTGCTATAGGCATGGATCTAGTCTATACGTCATCTGTTGTAAGTTGCAACATCTAGCGTACTGCTATAGGCATGGATCTAGTCTATAGTCATCTAATTGAAAGTTGCAACATCTAGCGTACTGCTATAGGCATGGATCTAGTCTATACGTCATCTGTTGTAAGTTGCAACATCTAGCGTACTGCAATAGGCATGGATCTAGTCTATAGTCATCTAATTGAAAGTTGCAACATCTAGCGTACTGCTATAGGCATGGATCTAGTCTATACGTCATCTGTTGTAAGTTGCAACATCTAGCGTACTGCTATAGGCATGGATCTAGTCTATAGTCATCTAATTGAAAGTTGCAACATCTAGCGTACTGCTATAGGCATGGATCTAGTCTATACGTCATCTGTTGTAAGTTGCAACATCTAGTGTACTGCTATAGGCATGGATCTAGTCTATAGTCATCTAATTGAAAGTTGCAACATCTAGCGTACTGCTATAGGCATGGATCTAGTCTATACGTCATCTGTTGTAAGTTGCAACATATATAGTGCACTGCAATAGGCATGGATCTAGTCTATAGTCATCTAATTGAAAGTTGCAACATCTAGCGTACTGCTATAGGCATGGATCTAGTCTATACGTCATCTGTTGTAAGTTGCAACATATATAGTGCACTGCAATAGGCATGGATCTAGTCTATACGTCATCTAATTGAAAGTTGCAACATCTAGCGTACTGCTATAGGCATGGATCTAGTCTATACGTCATCTGTTGTAAGTTGCAACATATATAGTGCACTGCAATAGGCATGGATCTAGTCTATAGTCATCTAATTGAAAGTTGCAACATCTAGCGTACTGCTATAGGCATGGATCTAGTCTATAGTCATATGTTGTAAGTTGCAACATCTAGCGTACTGCAATAGGCATGGATCTAGTCTATACGTCATCTAATTGAAAGTTGCAACATCTAGCGTACTGCTATAGGCATGGATCTAGTCTATACGTCATCTAATTGAAAGTTGCAACATCTAGCGTACTGCAATAGGCATGGATCTAGTCTATACGTCATCTGTTGTAAGTTGCAACATCTAGTGCACTGCAATAGGCATGGATCTAGTCTATAGTCATCTAATTGCGTTTATTCTACCAGAGGTCAATAGTAGCACAGCTTCGATTTCTGTCTTGTGTGCGTTTATTCTACCAGTGGTCAATAGTAGCACAGCTTCTGTCTGGTGGGATTTAATTCAACCTGAGGTCAAAAGCAGTATAGCTGCTGTCCAGTATACGTTAACTCAATCCGTTCACACGAATTTGAATAGTTGAAATATTTGACATTACATTTGCTTTATGGTATGACTCACATATGTGATAGGGTTTAACCAATTTAGGTAAGTTAGAGTTATTTATAAATCATGTCATGCCACTGGTTATAAATTGACCTTAAAGATATTAATTACATATGAATTATACAAAACACCTTCTTTAACCCGAACAGAAGTGAGCACGGCTTAAACATGTAACCCGTGAAGTGCTAAATCTGTATTGAAGTGAAACCATCGGCCGCATGTCGAGATGAAACTGTTTAGACACAATTATAGTTTTTTTTTGTATCTCCCAAGAATGCGTAGATAACGCGAGAGAAGTAAGAAAGACGAGATTTGAGTTGTTCTGCGGACGCGACTCTCATCAGCGCTGAGTGATGGCCGCCATATTTACCTTCTCCGCTGTCAGGGAATGATAAAGCCAGCCACTTTTTTCCACGTTATTTCTGTTTTCTAAATAAAGCTCCCGTCTTGTCTGATGTGGTTTGGATCGCTCGTTCTTGGAATTTCAGGAATGGCGGAAAAGATGAGTATGGAGGGTCGGTAAGGACAAACTAAAAATTCCCGATTCTTGGTCATGTCAAATAACGTTTCCGCTCTCCTGCTGACATTCTAAGATGCTTGGTAGCGTAAGAAAAACAAATATGTAGCAACATTCTAGGAAAACGCTAACAATAAGAACCCGGCCCGATTGGGAGACAGTACAGTCGTTTGACTGCCACACACGTGAATAAAGTATCTCTACTCGAAAGTCGAATGACATGTGAATGTATATGCACATGTATTGGAATGCGCACATACAACGAATGCGAACTAAACATTTAAACACCAAGCTATTTAAAACAGTGAATGACAGTTGATATGTGTTACGAGCTGACAAGATGAACATTTTAGATAGCAGCTTGACCTGGTCCACTTTATCTGGCATCTTTCTTCGGTGTGGCTGGCTACACGGATTGCACGTGCACAACATGTCAGACCCGAGGAATACCACCGGCCTGAATACCACATCATATATCACCGTTGCTCTTTGCATCGCGCTGCGTGTTTGTTACAGCGATATGCCCTGTTATGCAACAGTAAGTGTCATGGTGTTGTGTGGTCAGGAAGACGCTAAGTCGATATGAACAAACATTAAACTCAAGGGTGCCTCACAACAAACCAGGACTTCAAATTGTTCATGAAATTCACCCGACAGTGCGTATGCATCATCTTTGGAAACTAGCATCCGTTCATCCAACACACCAACTGTGTATATCATCCACGATATATCTGGCATCATTCAAACCTGGTGACGTAATCTGTGCACAGTGCCACACCATAGTACCTGACTGTAGAAAACATGTCATCATTGAATGTGAAGGACTCTTACAAGAGAGAAATCAGATGTGCAATAGACTT